TTGACCTTTGACCCTTATTTGTCAGTTCCTGTACTCCGCTGCTCCTGCTCCTGCTGCCTTTGGCCTTTGCACCAGGACATGGGTTTTCAAAATGGCCACCCATCCAAGTCAATGGTCATGTTTCCAGATTCACCTTTAGCCTGGCGAGGTGCTTCCGGTGGCTGTGGTCCGACCAAGCATGTGCAGTAGTGCTTTTTTCTCCCATGGGCACACGCAAATGCACATGAGCGCATGCATGGAGTGTGGTCTTGTGTATCACATGATTGTTTTGACCAATCATACATGTCAAGCTCAGGTCCAGGGACCAAATTTGGCCCACGATATAATTATATTTGGTCTGCGAGATCAAATCAAATGTTTATTAGAGCTGAACGCTGGCTACAAATAGACTAAAGAAACATTATTTATTTAAAATTTTGTTATGATTTTATATTTTGCTTGTTCTGGATTCAAAGTTTAAACGTTTATTTAAATAAGAAAAGGTTTAACATTACATATCTCGAAAGAAGAGAAAACATGCAGATGTTGTTGAAAATTTTCAATAAATATTGAGTTTGGCCCACGACTTTGTCCCAGTTTTTAATTTTGGCCTCTGTGAGTTTGAGTTTGACACCCCTGCTCTGAACAATCAACAAAACTGTTGATTGTTGAATGCCAACAACCTAGTGCCTCCGTTCAATTTCATTTCTCTCCAGCGACTTGGTTAGGAATTGAAATACACTAGACGGTTTGCAAGAACCCCGGAAGTGTGAGTTCGGGCACCAGCCAATCAGCAAAGAACCAGACATTCTGTGTTGGCAACGATTCCCGAGATCGAGAATTTAAAGCCGGAACAAAGAGAATGTTTGGTGAATTTTATCAAGGGGAAAGACGTTATTGTCCTTCTTCCTACGGGATTTCAGAAAAGCTTAATATACCAGTTACCCTTGTTAGCAGCGCATTACACACATCACGACCAAACAGCAACGATTAGTTAAATAAAAGAAAGTACTTGCCTACCATTGTGCGAACGAATCCTAATACTGCGAGGTCAGACGGTTTCTACGAAGTGAAACCGGCTCATGAATCACGCAACAAAACTGTAGCCCTGTAACAACATAATTTAATAAAATATACCAAAAAATACTCTTAGTGATGTATCGAAATAGCAGTCCCCGATATCGCTACTGTATCATCACATTAAACGATACGATATATTGATATTTTTGCACACCCCTAACTGTGAGCCATGTATCATGTATCGTATCGAATCATGATGGACACTGTGATTCCCAGCCCCATCAACCACAACCCAGACTGATCTTGAAATCGAAATCACCAGTTACCATCTTCACCGTTCCATTTTAACTCACATTTTCGACAACATCCCAAAGTTAATTTTACCTGGACAACAGAAGTAACTGGAATTGGACCAGAGTTTTTTTTAGCGAATGGCTGTAGGCGATGAGGTCACCCCCCGCTCTGCAGCCCACCTCTGCGCTCTCATACATGTATAATTCTCCATCAAATGAATAGTTCCTGCTCCAAAAGTACCATTTGATGAAATATTAATTTGGTGATTAATTTGTGCATCTGATCTTCTGTCAGTGGGGATGAAAAAGCGAGCGGGTTTTTCCCTGTGAAGCGCCTTGTTCAAGGGCACCTTCCCCTAACTTTGGGACATTAAACTTTAAACAGGAGCTGATAGAGCGCTGACAAACCCACGCGTTCGCAAAGTCAAGTGTGAATCTGATCAATAAAACAGAGCCGTGTGCTTTATTCATGTTTGTCCTTCGCTAAATCTGCTCAAAACACTGCTAAAGCTGCATGGTGTAACTTTTCCAGAGGAGAGTCTATCAAACACTTTTCTCCATGGAGATCTTATTGTTTCATCTGGAATGTTTCACAGTGTGGCATTAAACCTTTCTATCTTCATGGAGACCGAGCCAAGACCAAGTTACAGGTCAGATCTGTGGAATGGTGACGCCGATCACAGTCAGAATGTTGTTTTTCTAAGTATTTTTGAGCTATAAAACCACCTGTAATTAAAAAATGTTTAAGTAGAGCTGTTTAATATCATACGATGGAACATTTCAGGCAGAGCAATGACGTATCCATAGAAACAAAACAAGCGACGGAGCCCTAACCAAAAAGTTACATAGGGCAGCTTTAAGGAGAATCAATCCCACATCAATGCACACTAAACGATGTGTGTTTTTGCTCTTGGGGGCTTTAAAGAAGACGTGTTGTGCTTGTGTCTGTTATAGTTTTGATCTATGACATGTGGATCATCATGTTATCATTTGACCATTTTAAATCACAATATTCATCCAAAACGACTTAATAAAAGTAACAAGAGCGCTGATTTCCACGTTAGAAAACTGCTACGCCCAATAGAAGCAAAAGCCGCCGTAAACATCATCACAACAAAGAGCCTGTTGACCTGCTCTGGACAGCTGCACATCACACCAGCAAGCAGCAGATTCTTTTTTATTTGGACCAAAATGACTATGTGACACTGCCGAATCCTACGTGTATCACCGATTAAGAAAATAAAATTGGAAAATGAAACTGTGGGTTAGTGGATTTGACCGCTCAACCAATGTTATGTTGAGATTGCTACTCCTCTTACTACTCCTACTACTCCTCCTGATATTACTACTGCTCCTACACCTACTACTCCTACTACTGCTGATGGGTGATAAATCAGTTCCAGTATCGGTATCGACTGAAGTGCGTAGGTTTGCACAGGGACGGTGGGGGCATGTCACAACCAATATTTGGGGAAGACAAAATAGTCCCTACCAACAGTTGCCATTTTACTTTAACAAACAAAAGTATAAATTTATTCCGATATTTTTCCAAACTCAATAGTCTTAATTGAACACATTTTAGTTCACATTTTGTTTATTAGATGTTCTGAGATGTGTTCAGTGAGTCATTAGTGGTGCCAGGAGCCTAAACTGGGGAAGCGGCAGGACAGGACCGCACCTGAAGATGTCGGCATGAGCAGGCGTGAGTGAAAAACTTTTCAAAAGGAACTTACTTGGCTTCATCTTCAATTAAACTTGCCTTATAATGAGTCGCCGCGGAAAAAGTGCACCTCCCAAGCGGAGCCCTACTTAGAGCCGGACTCTACTGACAATATTTCATGGAAAAATGTACGGACATGGCCTCAGAAATATCTCATCACCAACAAGCAAAGGGAAATCTGCTATAAACATCTACATCGCTGTTATTCACTAAAGAATCATCTTAGAAGGGCAATTTACACAAACTGAAAAATGAAACCAACTCTCACTTATTTTGGACCTGCCCAGACTCTGTGTGTTTTTGGAAAGAAGGAAAGAATTCATTAAAAATATGGGGGAGGGGGGATATCTATACAAATTTGTCCATATCTGTATCAGCCGACATCAATGTGTAATTCCAATATTCGATACCATTTTTTTTTTTATTGCCCCATTCTCTGAGGCCTTTTTGAACAAGCTGAGTCAAAATGGACATATTACAGATTATTTTATATCACAGTAAAATATATTTTGTTATTTAGTGGAAAGTTCATTAGCGATACATAAATAAAAGATCCACCACCAAATCAACAATAAAGTGTAGATGATATCCAGTGTTGGGAAGGTGACTTTTAAAATGTAATCCCCTACAGATTACAGATTACACACCCCAAAATGTAGTTTGTAACGTAATCCATTAAATTACTTAAAGTGAGTAACGTAATCTGATTACTTTGGATTACTTGATATTGTCATGCTTTTTTTAAACGACATGAATGTAGCAACCACATCCTGAAAATTCTTGTTTGTTGTCTTCAAATTGTCTGAGCCCAAGTCTCCATGAATAAGCAACTGTTTGCTGTAGAGAAACAAAGACCACGAGATCTGAATATAAGAGGTTTTGTCTGTTAAAAGACAGAAACAAGATCAGCCTTTCATGAACCAGATTAAAATATATTATTGATAGAGAAATTATTTTTTATATGAGATCACCTTAAATTATGTCAACCTACTGTTAGGTGTCATGTTGTTTAGACCTGGTTTAGTCCTGGTTTAGTCCTGATTTTAGACTTGGTTTAGACCAGGTCTAGACCAGGTCTTTAGTTCTGGTTTAGTCGTGGTTTAGTCCTAGTTTAAACCTGGTTCAGTCCTGCTTTAGTCCTGGTTTAGTCCTGGATTAGTCCTGGTTTAGTCCTGGTTTAGTCCTGGATTAGTCCTGGTTTAGTCCCGGTTTAGTCCTGGTTTAGTCCTGGTGTTAGTTCTGGTTTAGAGGCGCACAGGAGGAAGTGCGGTTTACGCGAGAAAACACGTTCCACACGCGGCGCACGAGACGTCGGTGTCCGCGCAGTAACTACGGAAGGAGACGTGGTCCGCGGGTTCTCAGGTTGATGACGATGATGAAGGTGTGTGTTTGTGTTGTGTGTGTGTGTGTGTGTGTGTGTGTTTGTGTGTGTGTGTGTGTTTGTGTGTGTTTGTGTGTTTGTCCCCTCATGTCACAGGTCACTATAGGACAGTAGTGCAGATATTATGAGTCTATGCAGGTTGTTTTCACCAGTGCCAGTAGCTCCTGTTTCACATTTAAGTTGTAGGCGATTTTATATGTGTTTTTTTTTTTTAATATATATCTCACATCGGGAGAAGAATTTCCAAGACACAAATGCGTTTTTACCAATGCACTGCTGCTTCCACTGTGTGACTGACACCGCCAACTTTAACATGACGTTTACATCGCTCTTACTGTCACGTTCTGTTTGGGTTTCCGGCAATGAGTGAAATTACCGAAATAAAAAAATAAATAAATGGGATGTAGCACAAAATGTGAAAACAGGAAAATAACGCCTTGTAATCCACTTATTTCAGCAAAGTAACTGTAATCCAATTACCACTCATTGAAACAGTAACTGTAACGGAATACAGTTACTCACAATTTGTACTCTGATTACGTAACGGCGGTACATGTAATCCGTTACTCCCCAACACTGATGATATCCTACACCCGCGCTTTCTTACCTGGACCAGTCGGAGCAGTTCATACAGGTCCTCCACCTCGTCCCCTGGGGTGTGGCTGTAGTCGCGGCCGGTGTCCAGGCTGGAGCCCTGGATGGTGCGGCGGTACAGAGGCAGGTCCATGGCCTCTGCGTACAGCTCTATGGCCTGATGTCCCACCGTCTGGTACATGTAACTGTCCAACTCGTCTGGAACAACAACAACAGGTAAAAGTGTCAGTGAAGACTTCAGTGCACAAAAGGAAGTGAAGTTGGGGTTGGGTAAGTTAAGTGGGAGTGAACGATTTAGAATATATTTATAAGAAATAGTGATAGTTGCATCAAATAACTATTATTATTATTCTATGGTAATGAAAATATGTAACTTTTTGATCAAAAGACTAAAATAAAAGCAACAAACACACCCATAATGAACATTTTGTAAACTTGCATTTTTTCTGTCAACGGACTTGCATCTCCACAAACCTGACTCTAATGACCAGGGTTGCATCGATACAATACTGATATCGGATATCTGTGCACCAGTAGTGAACATTTTGATGGATCGGTTCATATTTTCAAGTGTAAACAGGTGTAAGCCAATGTTTTCAAGATGTAATACTAAACTTTAATTTTTTAAGCTGTTCTGCAGTATTCAGGCTGGCGACACCTAGTGCCTCCGTTCAATTTTATTTCTCTCCAGCGAGTAGGTCAGGAATCAGAATACACTAGACCAGATATGTCCAAACTATGGTCCGTGGGCCAAATGAGGCCCTGAGACAAATTTTTCTTGGTGCTCAGGCGTCCAGGTGAATTGGCCCAAATTACCTTGCATTATTTAAATATTTACTTTTTGAAAATCTACCTTGATGAAGTTCATATTTAATATTTAGTGTGTGGTTTTAAGGATCTTAGCATGAATAAAAGGTAATTCTAACGTGTTAAACATGCACATATTTCATTTATTCTCTGTATTCAGCACCAGTCTATGGCCCTCGATCAGCTTCGTCTGTGTTTAGATGTGGTCCTTTATGAAAAATGTTTGGATACCCCTGCATTAGGACGGTTTGCAAAAACCTTGGAAGTTGTAGACCGCGCAACGATTCCTGAGATGGAGGATTTAAAGCCGGAACAAAGAGAATGTTCGGTGAATTTTATCAAGGGGAAAGACGTTATTCTTCCTGCGGGACTTGGCGCATTACATACGTCACGACCAAACAGCAGCGACTGGTTAAATGAAAAAAGTACCCGCCTACCGTCAAGCGAACGAATCCTAATGCTAGAATCCTAGTGCTGTTTCCACGAAGTGAAACCGGCTGATGAATCAGGCTCGTTCTGCAGTTACTTTAAATGAAAAATAACTGTTACAAAACACATTGGACCAATTTTACCATACACCATTTGTGTTTAAATGAAATAAATACTGTTTTCAGTCTCTGCACTGGTGTCAGCAGATGCTTAAAACTATAGTATCGGAACAAAAAAAGCTGGATCGGTGCTTCCCTACTTATGACATAAAACTATCTGTCTCCATGGAGAATGTTTCGATGTATTAAACACCATAGGACATCTGTGGAAAGGCCACTCAGATCACTAAAAGAATCCATGTTTTAACAATTTTACAAATGTAACTGAACTACAACAGCAAAAACTAATAAAATCTTCAAGGAGACAAGAAGGTGGTGGACTTAAGGTTGTGTTTTTGCTTTATTTGTCAGTAATCGCGCTCGTCCTGCTGTGAGACTGGGCACTCTAAATAAAGCTGGCTAATTCAAACTTGATAAATCTTCTCAATAAAACTATAAGCAGACTATTTTATTTAAACTTTCTGAAACTTTTTGTAAAAAGTGGGGCACCTAAAATAACCCGGATTCCCAAATTGTCCACCGATGAGCCGCCTAATTATACAACATGAATATGATGTAATATTAACCCGAAATATGCAAAGAAATTTCCAAAATGAGCCTATACATAGATTATCACGACCGCACTGAAACTACAATCGCCTCGCAAATAAACAATATTTATCAAACCTTCATCAGTAAATAATAACAGGCCTAATTTGATCTATTATTCCCCCCGAAGGAATGCGAATTGTGTTCTACCCAAATCTGTCAAAATGAAGGGGAGAAGGGAGAAGGCGCTACATGGAGCCGAGCGAGCGTTCCATATTTCACAAAGAAGGGACGCGGGTGATTCATTGGGCCGGCGCTGCTGCAGAACAATGAAAAGCGAACACATGTGCAGGTACTCGACGGTGAGGGGAGCGGTCAGGAAAGTCCAGAAGTGCTGATGTTAGAGGAGGAGGGGGGGCGTACCTGGTGACCTACATGTGAACACAACTTTTACTCCAAGTTTCAAACACACATCAGGACTTTGTGTGGACTTGTAATTGTAAGATAAGACATAAATTTGTTTATTTTGGTCACAGGTAAAATGTGAAAATGATTCCAGAAACAGCAATGCAGAGATTAAACCATCGCAGGCTGAAGTTTAGACTTATTGCTGTTTTCATTTGGTTCATTTTGTTCAAGGATTGGTCTAGACCAGAGGTGCTCACACTTTTTCAGCCTGCGAGCTACTTACAAAATGACCAAGTCAAAATGATCTACCAAATACAAAGCCAAGCAAACTGCACTGAAACACTCTGTGCCCCTTTTTTGGACCCTCACCCACAGTTTGAGAACCTCTTCTTTAAGAGAACTTCCTCTGGCACTTTACACAAAACTGTGAAAAAAGTGAAGGAAGATTTTTAAACCTGTTTTTTAAAGTTCCAAACTGGAGTTTACATTCTTTTCTGGTTTTGCAGTGATATTTACCAGCCTCTGCACGTTTACCAAACCAAACGCACATCGTGACAAACACAGATGCATTTGTCACTTTTGTTAGACAAACTTCAGCCAAATGTGGCAGTAGGTCTGTTCTGTAGATCCGCTCTATGCTGTAGACCTGCTTTGTGCCAACACTGTAACACAAATTTAGACTGGTTTTTGCTTCACGTTTGGTCTTGCTCTTCTAATCAGCCGCACTGTGGGAGGGGCTTGTGTTCGCTGTACGCAGGAAGGAGCGAGAGCGTGAAAAGGCGAGGGGCGGCGTGCTGACGTGAGGCAGATGGACAGGTAGGATGTTTAGGAAGTTGAACCTGCCCTGTGATGCACGCTGGTACACGAGGGCACACGCTGTCGCAGACGAGCCGTGCATAGGGAGCGTGTGTGTTTGTGATGCGCCGTAGAGTCTCCGCGGGTTTCAAATGAGCGCACAGGCTGCACTGAGACGCCCCACACGCTCCTGCACCCGCTACAAGTTTATTACCAACAGCAGCGGACGTAATGAAATATGATCGCACTTGTTGAGTGTCAGACCTTAAGTGAGAGACAAGACCGAGTCCAAAAGCGAGTCCAAGACAAGACACGGCGATCTACCCACACGACCTTGGCGATTTGACTTGTAGATCGAGATCGACGTATTGAGCTCCCCTGTTCTAGTCAGTGTTTCACAGAACGTCACAAAACCAGAAGACATTTGGAAACATGCGGAACTTCCTTTGGGCTCTGTTGAGGATAATAACTATGACAAAATCTGGGAAAACTGAGAAAATGGCCCGGTTTTCTTCACCTAGACGTCACTGTATTCTTTCTTTTTTCCTTTTATAAATTTCCTAGTAATATGTGTGTTTTAATTCGTCTTAACTTAACTTTAAAATAAAACAAAGATGTCATTTTAGCGTTCCATAATGTTCGGCAGATTAACTAACGCTGGGTATCATTAAGAAGTTGCCAATACGATACATACCTCGATACAGTGCACTTTCGAGTCAATACGATATATTTCAAATTGATTCGATTCGATTCAATAAAAAATAAAGGCTAAATCGTGGGTGTGATACTAAAAGTCTTTGTTAAACCACTTCTTGCGCAAAATTCATATGAAACACGAAACATTTTAACCATCAAAACAGTGAAAATGTCAAATGTGTCGCATAAATGAGTTTCCTTCCTCTAAACAAGCAACAAAACTGTAGCTCTGTAACAAAATAATTTTGTAAAATATACCAAAAAATACTCTTGGCAATATACTGATACAGCAGCCCATGATATTGATACTGTATCAGCACATTAAACTATTCCATATATCGATATTTTGATATTTTTTTTACACCCCTAAGATCAATGTTTTATCACATGTCCAGTGTACATCAGAGGTCGTAATCTGCATGTTTCCACTGTCTTCTAGTAAGCGAGACTAGTGCTTATTGACATCCAAAAGACTTTAAAGTAGCATTTAATAATAAATATACTACATACATTGAATTGAAATATTTGCAGATTTTATGGTTTATATTTTAGATTCAATTTGACTTTAATGGTCCAATGAACTCTGGCAACTGGGTTTGGGCTAAAATAGATATATTTTTACTAACTGATCTTCAATTTGTTAGTTCAATTTGTAAGTTACCATTAGACTATTATGATTATTTCTGACGTCTGCGCCTTTTGGTTAAAAGCGACAACAATAAATGCACTGACAGTATTTTGAATGTTAAAAAACGATAAAACCAAACCATAAGGTGAGTGGAAAAAGGTAACATTTCATATTTAGCCCTAAAAGTCTGCTCAATTCTACGTGTTTTTTTGTTTGTTTGTTTGTTTTTTGATTATCATGATTATTTGTAGATGTTGTTTATTTTTCATTGTTGGTGCGAATGTGGTGCATGTACCTCCTGTTTTCTGTAGGGAGAAAATAAAAATGCATTTATAGACTGTCACTGAGGAAGAATAGTTGCTGTTTTTCAGTAGCTAATTGGGATCTAAATAAAAACAAACATGTGGGGTGCTGTAAAGTCATGAACAATCCACTTTAGGTCATGAAAAGTTAAAGTTTTGAAATTCTGTTAGTGAAAAAGAGTGGGAAACCTGACTAATAAACAATTTATCTTTGTGTGAATGAAACAAACACAACTCCAGGTCTGTTTTTGATGAGAAAACAACATCATAACACGACTTAAAGCTCATTCAGTTACCTCAGTCTAAATATTTGTTTTATTTCGGTTCGCTGGCTCGATATGTGACACGTTCTGACCACGATCGCCGTTACCTTGTATAGTAACTCGCACATCACCTGCACGTGAACAGGTGTGAACTGTCCTCATTCCATTCACGTAGCGCCATGTTCTTTAAAGTTTCGGTCCTAGTTCCCGGTCCTCACCTGTGTTTTGGGGGCGCAGGTTGGCCAGAGCCACCAGCTGATGTCCGGCCTCCGCGCACTGCATCATGTTGTAGCAGCTGTCCTTGCCCCCACTGGAACACGGCACAGAGGGAGAGCGCCGGGTCACACAGGTACATTTACATAACACATACTCACACATGCATTATGAGGCTGTACTCCTACTACTTTACACTCACCATCTGCAAATAATTCTTCACAAGGGAAAAAGTTGCATGCTTCCTTATTATGAAAATGTATAAGTAAACAAATATGTGGCCTGTGCTTTATTCATGCCCGTAGGTAAATTTGTTTTGCAGATTTGAGAGGCTGGTCCCACATTTCTCACTTCATTCATCCACAATAAACACAATAAACACTAGGACTAGGGCTGGGCATCATTAAGAAGTTCCCGATACGAGGTAAGATCAACATTTTTCCAAGAAGAATTTATCCACAACTATCAAGGTCAGAAAGACGAAAACTTAAAGGCGAAACGTAGTGAACTACTGAGCAAAACTAACCTTATGGTCATGAATAAAACATAAGTAACTTGTTCACTCAGACTGATTCTACAATTAAAATTAAACTTTTTACTTTTTACTAGAGTGACCAGATTAACTATTTACCCGGGACAGTCCCAGTTTTGAGTTTTGTGGCCCCTGTCCCAGCAGATTTATCCAAAACCAGTGATTTGTCCCAGTTTTATACAAGAAATGTCCCTATTTTTGACCAATTTTATCCCTGCCAACAGTAAAGCGAGGCCTAAATTGACATTCGTTTAGGTAAAATACAGAAAAGCTGCTTAAAAGTGACCAAAACCTAAAGAAAATGTGATTATACTGACTCAGATGTTTGTCATGAATGGTCTTATTTTGGTCACAGGTAAAATTTGAAAATGATTCCAGAAACAGTAACGCTTTACAAGAAGAGATTAAACCATCGCAGGCTGAGGTTTAAGGCTTATTACTGTTTTCGTTTGGTTCATTTGGTCTATTCAGTGTCTCACAGAAGTAACAAAACCGGAAGACGTCTGGAAACATGCGGATGACGACTTCCTTTGGGCTTTGGACAAAATCTGAAAACTGAGAAAAAGGCCTTGTTTTCTTCATCTAGATGTCATTGTATTCTTTATTTTTTCCTTTTATAAACTGCCTATTGTTTTTTGTATTATAATTTGTCTTAACTACTTTAAAATAAAATTTAAAAAATGTCATTGTAGCGTTCCGTAATATTCGGCAGATCAATTAGGGCTGGGTATCGTTCAGAAGTTGCCAATTTAATGTTATGGTCATGACTAAAATGTAAGTAACTTTTTACTTTTTACTAGAGTGACCAGATGAACTATTTACCCGGGACAGTCCCAGTTTTGAGTTTTGTGGCCTCTGTCCCTGAAGATTTATCCAAAATTTGTGATTTGTCCCAGTTTTACACAAGAAATGTCCCTATTTTTGACCAATTTGATACCTGCCAACAGAAAAAGAAGCATAAATTGACATTTGTTTCGATAAAATACAGAAAAGTTGCTTAAAAATGACCAAAACATAAAGAAAATATGACTATACTGACTCATATGTTAGTCATGAATGGTCTCTGTATAACAATTTTCCTTAATTACGAACTCGTTTCTCAATTTTATTATTACCAACCACCAAAAAAAACAGGGATGTCACAGTTTTTTATTTTGAAATCCTGGTCACTCTACTTTTTACGCTCATTTAATTTAGGGTGACGGGTTCATTGACGGGTCATTTAATTTAGGGTGTAGTGGTTTGCAATAATAAAATGCTGAAATGTGAGTGTAATTAAAGAAAACTGTTCTGCGGAAACCATTCATGACTGACATGTGAGTCAATATTGTCACATTTTCTTTGTGTTTTGGTCATTTTTAAGCAGCTATTCTGTAATTTTACCAAAACAAATGACAGTTAATGCTTCTCTTTACTGTTGATGGGTGTCAAATTAGTTAAAAATAGGGACACCAGGGATATTTCTTGTATAAAACTGGGATAAATAAATTGTTTTGGATAAATCTGCTGGGACAGGGGGCTCAAAACTCAAAACTGGGACTGTCCTGGGTAAATTGGGACATCTGGTCACCCTAGTAAAAACTTTAATTTTAATTGTAGAATCAGTCTGAGTGAACAAGTTACTTATGTTTTACTCATGACCATAACGTTAAATCGGCAACTTCTGAACGATACCCAGCCCTAGTTGATCTGCCGAACATTACGGAACGCTACAATGACATCTTTTTTATATGTTAAAGTAGTTAAGACAAATTAGAATACACAAAACAATAGGCAATTTATAAAAGGAAAAAATAAAGAATACGATGACGTCTAGATGAAGAAAACCAAGCCATTTTCTCAGTTTTCAGATTTTGTCAGAGTTACTATCGCCGACAGAGCCCAAAGGAAGTCGTCATCCGCATGTTTCTAGACGTTTTCCGGTTTAGTGACGTTCTGTGAGACACTGAATAGACCAATCCTTAAACCAAACGAAAACAGTAATAAGCCATAAACCTCAGCCTACAATTCATTTTCAAATTTTACCTGTGACCAAAATAAGACGATTCATTAGAAACATCTGAGTCAGTATAGTCACATTTTTTTAGGGTTTTGGTCATTTTTAAACCGCTTTTCTGTATTTTACTTAAACAAATGACAATTTATGCATCTTCCTACTGCTGGTAGGGATCAAATTGGTCAAAAATAGGGACATTTCTTGTATAAAACTGGGACAAATCAGTAGTTTTGGATAAATCTGCTGGGACAGGGGCCACAAAACTCAAAACTGGGACTGTCCTGGGTAAATTGGGATTTGGGTAATTTTACCTAAACAAATGACAATTAATGCTTCTCTTTACTGTTGGTGGGTGTCAAATTAGTTAAAAATAGGGACACCAGGGATATTTCTTGTATAAAACTGGGATAAATAAATGGTTTTGGATAAATCTGCTGGGACAGGGGGCTCAAAACTGGGACTGTCTCGGGTAAACAGGGACGTCTGGTCAATTTAATTTAATTTAATAGTAAACCACGCTATTAGATGAACTATTTTCTAACTGTTATTGCCAAAGAGAAGGAGATGTCCACGTTATTTTCCACAGATCAAACTCCAGATCACTTTTTTTGCTCACGCTGCTCCAAAACTCCTCACTAAAGTTACGCTAAGACAAAGTTAGCGTTTTTAAACATTTAACTTTTACCTTATGAGCGCGACCACCCTCATCCTGCCGCTGTCCCCTCCGCAAAAAAAGCACAAATAAATAAAAGTGATCAGTAAGCGGGACAGTTCATTCAGCAGAGACAGAACTGTCAGACCGCTCTGTGTGTACACAAAACCAACACGTGAAAAACTACACTTCCGGGTTACACAGGACCCTCCGGAAACGTAGGTGTCCGCGTATCTGCCTGAGTGAAATACAGTTAGTGAGTTATGAGCAGTGTTGGGAAGGTGACTTTTAAAATGTATTCCCCTACAGATTACAGATTACATACCACAGAATGTAGTTTGTAACGTAATCCATTAAATTACTTAAAGTGAGTAACGTAATCTGAATACTTTGGATTACTTGATTTGCTGTAGAGAAGCAAAGACGAGGAAATCGTAACATAAGATGTTTTGTCTGATAAAAGAAAATAAAAAAGCCGAGTCTTTACTTAACCAAATTAAAAATATTATTGATAGAAGAGGAGGAGACATGGTCCACACGGCCTGGTTTAGTCCTGTTAAATCCTGTTTGAGACATAGTTTAGACCTGGTTTTAGTCCTGGTTTAGTCCTGGTTTAGACCTGGTTTAGAACTGGTTTAGACCTGGTTTAAAACTGATTTAGACCTGGTTTAGTCTTGGTTTAGACCCAGTTTAGACCTGGTTTTAGTCCTGGTTTTAGTCCTAGATTAGTCTTGGTTTAGACCTAGTTTAAAACTGGTTTAGACCTGGTTTAGTCTTGGTTTAGACCCAGTTTAGACCTGGTTTTAGTCCTGGTTTAGACCTGTTTTAGACCTGGTTTAGACCTGGTTTAGACCTAGTTTAAACCTGGTTTGGACCTGGTTTAGTGTCCGGCAATGAGTGGAATTACTGGAAAAAAAAAAAAAAGGGATATAGCCCGAAATGTGAAAACAGGAAAATACCTCTGTGTAATCCACTTATTTCAGCAAAGTAACTGTAATCCAATTACCACTCATTAAAACAGTAACTGTAACTGAATACAGTTATTCATAATTTGTACTCTGATTACGTAACTCCGGTACATGTAATCTGTTACTCCCTAACACTGGTTATGAGTTAGTTTAATGTGAAATTTTTGTAACAGTCTATTATGTACATGATTAAGTACATGACTGAAGAAAATAAACTACTACTAAAAGATGACTACAACACTGTCAGTCAGAACAAACATTTAAAAAAGTTATAATAAAAAATTAAAATTACTGTGTGCTGCTGAGACTGATGGCATGGCAAGTTATTGTTTTAAGATTTATTTGTTATTTATTTGATTGATATTTACGCTCTCTCTCTCTCTCTCATAACAGAACACATGAAAAATACACTGTTACTTATATAATTCTCACAAGTTTAATGATTTGTAGGCTATATAGGCTATGTCTTCAATAAGAAATAAGAAAAGAAATAAATATCTTGTTCAGATAAATTCAAATGTAGTTTTAAAAGAAATCAAAAATATTCACCAAATGCATTGTTTTAATTATTGCTGGTAATAGCTCTGTAGCAGGGGTGGGCAATTATTCTTTTTTCTATGGGGACACATGAGAAACAGAAAATATTGTGAATGACTGGGCCAAAAACCTTAACTAAATTCTGCAAAATATTCAATGTATTTCTTTAAAAAAAAAAAAAAAAAAAGCAGTAAATATCATTGTTTTGATGAGCTGGTAAGACTGGAAAGAGTTTATGTTATGACTAAGTAATGAAAAAGTGAAGTTGACTTACAAAATTGTCATTAAAAAACACCTCTAAAATAAAAGCAATGCAGCTTTACACCATGCATTAGGTAAAAAGATAAAATATGTTTATTTTGTAATTCCAAATGAGCTTATACGGGCCAATCAGAGTCAACCAAAGCTCCGTCTGTGGACCGCGAGCAGCACAAAGCCCAGGTCTGACCTACAGCCTAATATTAAGATAAAAAAATCTAACTGTATGACCATGGAAATGCAAAATTTAAAGCCATTTCAGAACATTCTAAATAGAGACAGATCATTTTTATGCCATAATGTGACATATTATAGCCAAAGGAACAACATTTACATGGAAACAAGCTGGACGAGACCAAATACGAGTCAGGTTTGTGGAGATACCAGCCCCTGCTCACAGTATGGATGCATGTTTTCCAGTGTTTTTCAGTGCAATAAAACCATTTTTTTTTTAAAACAAATAATTGAATGACAAATAAATGAAATGACAAATGATTTTGTTGTGTGTGTGTGTGTATTTTTTTGGTTAAAAACTTACATACTGAGGCTTAAAATTGAGCTTTAATTATAAATGGAAATGTCAAAAATATTATTGTTAATTTTAATCATTTTCAATGTGCTTATTTTTGGTAATATAATGGATCTAATATTATGGTGAAAAAGAATTACACAATTGTGATTTATTTACTTATGTTTATATATGAAATAAATATAAATAAATACATAAATAACAAAACAAAAAAAAAAGTGCATTATTGAAAATTAATAAGAATATGTTTTGTACTTCTATAAAAATGTGTTAACAAAAAACAAAAATATGATAATAATAACTTAAACTCTGCAGTAGCTGGAGCATTGCAATAGAAGCGGTTCTCATTGCCTAAGCGCTTGATCCTAAACCCAGTGTACAGCGCAGTGGTGTGGCGGCTCCCTGGAGAGGGGCCGGTCCATCCTGTTTCTCTCCCCCGGTTAGCAGCTCTCCTCTGGGGCATACAGTGCGGCTCTCTCCTCCTCTGCGCGGCTCTTTGATGCTCTCTTTTGCTGTGTTGTTGTTCCAGAGCGGGCTAAGTGCGCTGCTTTGGTGTGCCTGGCTCACCTCCTGGCCCCGAGCAGCCTGTGGGCAACACATCCTGAGTCAGAGTACAAAACTGTATGAGACATCTCTGCAGCGCGCCGCTTTCAACCCCGAGCCTTTGTTTGGAGATTCACACAGTACGGCGAGAGAAACAAGATCCAGAGGAGTTTGATAGTGGAAAGTAAAGCAAAGTAAAGCAAAGTGCAAAGTAAATACGCCTAAAATGGTTCTGCTGCTGCAATAACACAAACACACTCAGAATAATGCGGAAAACCGGAATAAAAACTGTGTAAGGAAGTGGATTAAGGGTTCAGCTCCAGTCAAATGAAGCTCATCGAGGTCACAGTTAAAGGGATGAATTTAGAAAGAGTTCAAGGGATGTTGAAGGTAATGCCCCTTATTGTGTCGCGGTCAACTGTAATAAAATCTGAAGTTGAACCCAAGATGGCGTCGTATTGTTTTCAGTGGCCTGTGCTCATTGGAACATGGGCCCAAAAATAATTTTATCTTCCGCATTTACTTCTTCAATACAGGCGAGTGCATCACACCTGTGTGACGTCTATAACGTGCACAGTGTTGAGCATTTGGACCAATCAAAGCGAGAGTTTATGTTGTGAAAATAGAAAAGAATCCTACAAAATCTGACCTTTGTGAAATTTGTCGATGCCTTGTCAACCGAACATGGGCAGTTTGAATTCCTAAAATGCATCGTGATCTATGGGAGAATTCTTTCTGGGCCCAAACTCCCAGCAGCTGCAGTACCTTGAGTGGCCACTAGTCGGTCTGGATGTTTTTAATTCTGACTTTGATGGTGATGTCTTTGTCTATTCTATGATTTGGCCAGCTGCAAAGTTTTTAAAATTGGTATGTAAAGTTATAAAGTTGTTATGTGATGTTTTTAAAGTTGAAAATTGTAAAGTTGTTATGTAAAGTTATTATGTAAAGTTTGAGTTGTAAAGTTGTTTTGTAATGTAAAATTGTATGTACATTTTTTTAAGTTGTAAAAATGTGAAGTTGTTATGTAAAGTTTTTAAAGTTGTAAAATTGTAAAGTTGCTATGTAAATCTGGTATGTTATGGTGGCTGAAGAACCCGATGGCACAGATTGGCAGCTAATTTTACATTTTAAAGTTTTTTAAAGTTGTAAAGTTGTAAATCTATTGTAAAGTTTGTTTTGTAAATGTTTGTAAAGTTGTGTAAAATGTAAAGTTGATATGTAAAGTGGTAAAATTGTAAAGTTGCTATGTAAATCTGGTATGTTATGGTGGCTGAAGAACCCGATGGCACAGATTGGCAGCTAATTTTACATTACATATTTATTTGAATTGTTAGATTTAAGATTTTTTTTTTAAAAAATTTATTTATGATTATTATATTTTAAAAGTAGTGTAATATGGACCCTGCCAATCTCTACTGAGCTACAACTCCAGCTCTGTTTTTGAGAAGGAAACAACATTATAACATAACTTAAATCTCACAAGAGTCAATTTTGCATAATGTAGAATCATTAATGCTGCTTTGTTGTTTATCATTACTCGCTAAAACAAATGTACTCCGGACAGTTACAAATAAACGTCCACTTGTCTAGAGCGGCCGTTTCAGATTGATATTAAAGCCATCACTTTTATCAGTCTCACATTCCCCATGTTAGTGATAAACATCTGACTCAGCCTGCTACACTTCATATCTCCTTGCACTTTGCTTTATGTCCCTCTCTGCTTCCCTTACCCTGACCATCCCCAACCTCATCCCCGGTGTAACGCGCGACGATGCAAATGTCACCAGTTAGAAACCTTTAATTTACGCCATTTATTACCCCGCGCAAATAAAGAGCTGCACGCGCACTACCTGCTCCATCCGCCGTTGCTTTCTGCTGACGTCAAAGCGCCGTTTTATGTCCATATCGCCGCGGTGACGGGGACGGAGGCGCGTCGTGATGGATGGCCGGGCGCGAGACGTGAATATGAGACGCGTAAATAAGCTGGCGAGCGGGCGGGATCGGCGCGGCACCCTTGGCCTTTTGTTTAGCGCGCGCGGCTGGTGATTTACGCGCGCCAGCTAAACTCATTTTGGTGGACGCAAGGACGGGAAAAGTTTAGCGGTAATGAGAAACTACGGCTTCAAATCACGCCGCGAGAGATTGCGTGTCAGCAGGAGAGGGATAGGAGCAAGGTTGAACAACAAGCGGATGGAATACAAATACACAAAGATGCTCCCGTGAAAAGAAGGATGCAAGGGAGTCGACGGTGGTGTCAGTATCAGATACAGTAACAGAGGTGCAGTAAGTTAAAGCTACAGTAAAGAATAAAGAGTCCACTACCTGCAT